CCGGCGGTTCTCGATCCTAACAGTCAGCCATTCTTAATACATGACAAGATACACTGACCAAAAGTCGCAGAAAATTGCCTGGAAACACAATTAACCTAGCGATGGAAAGCAATACCAGATACAGTTTCGTGAACTTATTTTGTGATTTTCAAAATATCATTTTGCCTGGCTTACCCACATGTATGAGTTGACGATCTCTAAAATGTTGCAGTCAGTTTATAACATTTCAGACAAATCCAATCATTATTATTGTTATAAAGTTGCGGACACCTGCACTTAGCTGGTCGCTTTTAACTGGGGAAGTAGGGTAACGGTTTGCACACAATCAAAAATTGACCAACAAAATTTTACATTCTTATTTATTGCTAAACTTCTAATAAGTTAGCACGGTGCAACAAATGACAGATACAAGACCGGATTGTTAAATCTTAAAAACCACTTTAAAAAAATATATATATCACAGCTCATTTCATGAGCAAATTATCTTGCATAAAAATATTGCTGAGTAAAAAAGTATACGTGAACGACGTGTTCGATGATTCCATGTCATCATTATCAAGTTCGAAATACATCATAGAACTGAATAAAGAAAGAAAGAAAAGCCATTTTTACTATTTATATTGGTTCAATTCTGTCATGTATTTCGAACTTGATAATGATGACATGGAGTCATCAGGACGTCGTTCACTTTTCATATCGCTTATTTTTGTCTTACGAAAGTGTTGTACGAAACCTTTAACAAAAGGTGTAAATTTAAAAATACCTTATGAAGGATGAAGAGAAATAAAAAGTTGACAGTGTACGGATTAAAATAAAATTTATATGTCAACTTTTATAAAATATATCGGACTGCACTCGACGCTCATTCAACCTTTCGTCAAATAGAGGAATATCAATTTCTCGCTTCGAAATGGGCGTTTCCTTGCTACAAATGGCTTGTCCCCTGTCCGTTAAATCTGTTGACGAAAAGAAAATGGCGTAAATCGGAATACTGTGGATTGCAATACGAAAAACTACTTTCTACAATTTTAATCTTCTCCACCTTCACTCGCACCGCTTACATGTAACTTGTAACTCAAATAATGTTTGTTTTCTTTTGATTTGTTTTCAGGTTTCCCTATTGGGTTTTACTAAATTTTAGTTAAGAGTAAATGTAGAGGTAGTGTATGTGGTGTTTTACTGTTTTGCTATTAGAAAATGTACCTCCCTGTCGCTGCGAGTCGTCGCTCTGATTAAGAAGTCGACTCTGGTAGTTTGCTCTCACGCCACCAATCTTGAAAGTAGAATGAACAAAAATAAATAATGATGCCGCTAACAATAAATGACAAAATATAGGACTAAATATACCTGAATAAATGACTAAGAATAAAGTATTATTACTTAAGATATTCCGTGAAATTTGTATAAAATCACTTGTTGCAATTTTGGAATGGTCTGAATGAGGGTAAAGCCGTCACGTGAAGGACGGATTTTGGTGAATGGCTTTTGTGGCAAACTTTACAGATGTCATCTTCAGATACAGGTGTCACTCGATCTTTTTAAGATTAAAGCAGCTAAGTCACGGGTAGCAAAATTTTTAAAGAATTTGTGGCCTTTTCATGCGTCAAAGTTACTCATTTTTGATAGTTTTTCTACCTTTGTACACTATTATTCCGAATTTTATTTTTTAGCTTATCTTTTGGCCAAGAAATATCTCCAAATAAGGAGTTCTTCAAACTGACAGAACAGGGGAACATGGGAATTGTTCTTGTAAGACGAAGATGGTATTGGATCGGTCATGTGCTCCGTATAGAGCCACTAACATCTCCAAAGTTGCTCTCAGATGGACACCAGAGGGTAAAAGGAAGGCACCTGGAGGAGGACTGCGGAAGCAGACCTTCAGGCCCTAAACCTTTACTGGGAGCAAGCTGCAAGGCTTACCAAGGACCGACTGAGATAGAGGAGTCTTGTTGATACCCTGTGCGCCAAGTGGCGTCTAAAGGATAAATGATGATAATGATGATGATTCCAAAGTTTCCTTCATTACAAAACGTTGACTAGATTCATGGCGACCTGACTCCTTCGAGGTTTCAGAGTGATTTTATCCTTTATTACGCAAAGATTTTGTGTTAGCGCGAACATCAGAAAGCAGTTCCTGTCAGCTGCGATTTGGCAATGGCTAGCAAAACATTTGATCTTCAGTTTTGGTGTGGGCATGAAAGCTCTCTGTAAGGTGGCGATAGTATTGTAGAATTGAAAGTTCCACCTTGGTGACCCAGCTTTTAGCTGGAAAAAGCAGTTTGCAGTTTTCATGTTGGGTTGTGTTCTTGGATTAAAACGATATCACGGTTGGACCTAAGTTCTGATTGCTGTTGATGTCTCTGAAGATAATTCCCTGTAACAGATTCCGGTACTCATCCTTGTAGCCAGAGAGTTTTCCCAAGTTTTTACAGAAGTGCTTTCCCAGGCAAAAAACCTATTATCACACATCCAGACAGTATCTCTGTATGATTGACTGAAAAACTACAATGTTGTTTTTCCCGTGGATTATTTGTAAGATGCCCAAAATGGTTTTGGCAGTATCACAATTGACGAGGAAACCGCAAATGTGTGGCATTTCTACACATAAGGGTATAGTTGCTGCTTCGTTGTTTTCGGACTTTTTGTTTTCCAATGACCTATCATATCGTTCTGAAACAATTGTTCTGACATTTAGGTGGCGGTTCACGTCTACATAAGACTGAAAAATCCTGCAACGACGTAATACTACAGTTCACTTCTTTTTTGTATTCAAAAATGTGCTCGAAAAATTTGTTTTGTCCGGCCAGGGTACCAAAGAGGATATAATTTTGACTTGTTTCTCTTAAACGGTTAATATTTGCCGGCTATTTCCAGCTAAAGATAAATAGATGCATAATCCTAACCAGCGATAATAAACAGGCTTTCATGCAAGCTGCAAAATAAAAATTGAACAATAACAATGCCTTTTTTAGTCTTAAAAACATGCGCACAAGCAATTTATGTCTAATTTCATCGCTTATTGAAAGCCCGAGTAATAAAATGCAAGGCGTTTTGTCTTGGTCGCCAAATGGGGGGTCATGGTCCAGGGAATGAGAATGGGAATGAGAATGCGACAGCTTGATTATCGTGATTGCTCTTCGTGAACAACGTAATGTACAAAATGAAGTGTTTTGTGAAGAACGTTTAGGAAAAAATCACGCCTTGTACGCTCATCTTACATACAAAGATGTCCATCGTTTTATGAGAACTGACTTAAAAACTAACTATGATACTGAGATGAACACCTCAGATGTTGAAAAAAATCAAGAATCGTCGTAAACAGAACTTCGAAGATGAGGCAAACAACAAGCAATTGGTTAAACAGGAACTCAACGAAGCAACTTGAATAGTAGCTTAACTCTTATCCCGAGTCTTTATTTGTTTTTACTGTTTTCAATAAGCTTACTTTGTAAAGTTTAACTTGATATTCCATTACGAAGCTCGAGTAAACGCTATTAGAGCGTCTAGTTTATTTAATGTGAACGTTCACAATTCGTCCCAAATTCTCAGATATCGTTCAGACGTTAATTTATTCTTCCTACATTAGTAGGACTGACCTGCCTACTCATCAAGCAATTCTATGACGTCTTCACTGCCACTTAACTAATAAAGATTCAAAACATGTCTGTCTACATTCTCGTCCCCAGAGGCCGCGCTCCTTTTGGTCAGCACAAAGAATCGCCACCTCTGGGAAGGTCCAACACCGGATTCACGAACTTCCTGTCACTCTGCGCATGCTCAGAGTCAAGTCTGACAATCTGATTGGCTGAGAATACGAAACAATTACTCTACGCATGCTCGGAAAAGTGGACCTGCCCAGACGTCGCTTTTCTTGGTGCTGACCAAATGGAGCGCGGCCTTTGGGGACGAGAATAGTCTGACTATAGATTATTTTAGTTAACACGTCCGGCGTGCATCGCAGGTTACTGAACTACTGTAAGTGGGTAGAGTCTGATACGAGCCAAGTGGCCCTTCAGGCCGGCGCTTACCTCCTATTTCTGTAGAATGAAGCAACTAGAAGTATTTCTACTCCACCCTAGATGAGATGCTAGTCCATCGCAGGGTTACAAACCTCGTTTGCAGAGCAGTTTTTCAAGTTGTTCAACTTTGAGAAGCTGTAGTTTCCTCTCATCTTGTTTGGAGCAAATCCAAATTTAGCCTGTAAATATAAAAGTTAATCGTATCGATAAGCATATACCTCCTACGGCACTACAGCACTAGGAAAAGGACAGAATGCACTAAACGAACGCTAAATTGTAAAAAATTGAACAAGCTAAAAACCCTCTTTTATCTCACCATAATGAAACGACGACACCCTAGCCTTGCATTGCAAAATGCAAACTCTGCCTTGGGCTTTTCATTCATTGTTTCCTCTGCTAAGGCAAGTTTTTTTTTTTTTTCTGGCATTAGTACTTAAAATTTTCAATAAATATGTTCTAACGTTAAGAAAATAAAGCTCAGGGTAATTAACGTTATCTGCTAGAGTAACAAAGAATAATGTTCTTTTAAAATTCCATTATAACTCAACAAATCTCACTTTTTTTGACGACTTTTCCAGGCGCTTTACGTAAAATATGTTCCACTTTCGAAAATTCCTACGTTTTTGGCCGAATTGATGGGGCCAATATACAGCTTCAATGTTTCAAGTTTGTCATTTCTGATCGTTCTAAACCCTTGCCAATTTCATCCATTATTGTTGTTGTTGTTGTTGTTGTTTTTTCTATTACCTTTTAATGCTTTTCGATCCTACTTTACGTTTTCTTGTGGTGGGAGCTGAGCTGTCTCTCATTTTGAAGATACCTTATATTGGGACATAGCTCCTTAAGTCAGCGATTGGGAACGGGACTTAAAGCTGCGACCTCCGAATTTCAACTTCGGTGCTCTAACTAGCCGGCCTCGTTAGCTCTCATAAATTAGGGAACTTTAGCAATGACGACGAGAGCGTGAACGTCACCGACCGGAAGTTGGGAAAACGAACTTCGAAGCTACCACGCATGCCCAATC